TCTTCGGGTGACGATTACTTCGGGACCACAATAGATATGGACAAAATAATTGTAGTGTCTTGTAGCCTAATAAACACAGTTTCAATTCTATGTCTTGTTTTATAAACTTATTTTAAACAATTAATTTAAAACAAGGTTACAAGTTTGGCGGATTTATGGAACCAGTCTTTAGTCACTCAACCTATTGATCGTATTATCCAATTATTTTGAGTTTAATTAATTGTATCTTGCAATAATAAAATTTTAAATATAAGTTTGCAAAACAATTGTTATCAAAAATAGACTAAATAAATTGCCAACAATTTATAATTAATTTATTATTTTAAACACTTACAAAATTTAATTAAATAGTAATAATAAACAATGGATTTATAAATACGCCAAACTCTTGTTTAAACTTTATTTAAAATCTTAAATATTAAAAATAATTATGTAAAACATTGTGTAGAATTGAAAATGTATTTATATGGCAACAAAATACACCAAACAGTTTGTTCATATCTATTGAGGTGTTAAATGTAATCTTCACTCCAAGAGTTTAAACTTACCTACTTGAAAAGTTTGAGTCATGTTATTCAATAAGGATCTAGATATGAATCAAACAAATACCTAAATTTTTAATTTACTATATCAGAGTTTATGATATACGACAAAAGTTTGTTTCATATTTAAAATTCATTTGTAATGTATAACTTTAAAACATATAATTAACTTATATTTTAATTACCATGTGCAAACTTGCTAAGATACTTCCATGGGTTTGACTTGCCGGGTGGGAATTATATTTGGTACCACAATAGTTATGGACAAACTGTTTGGTATGTTTGTTGTCATTTAAATACAGTTTCAATTATATGTTATGTTTTGTTATGTATTTATTTTGAACATTCAATTTAAACAAAAATGCAAAAAATGACAGATTTATAAATCTAGTGTTTTATAATGGAGTATTTATTAATTGTGAAAATAAAGTAAAACCGACTAAACCAGCAAGCACGTTATTAATTATCTAAATTACAATCTAAATAATTAAAATATATTTTTAATATTAAACTATTAATGTATAAAACTTATCATAAAATAATAAGTTAAACAATTTAACATTACACTTATATTACATTCATTACAATTTTAGAACATATGAAAGACCGCTATTAATCATATTATTTAATAGTTGCAAATATATTATGTAAATATAAAATAAATTTATAAATATAACATTTAATTAAATAATTGTAATATAGTGTTTGATAATACAAAACGGCACTGAAATGACCACTTGAGACAGTTGTACAAAACAAACGGCCCGGGAGTGACCGTATGGGTCGACTCAAACCAGTAGTAATCATCAACGACCCGATGGCACTAAACAGGCATTTTCTCGGCCAGAATTCGTGGGACAAATTGACATTTTGTTGTGTATGTGAAAACATAATTGCATTATGATAATTTTACAATCAACTTTTATTGTTTGTAGCGCGTATTTTCAACAATACTGATCACCAAGATGTTTTATTTAGCTCACATCTATCAAGTTGGGAATGTTTGCGCAAGGTCGCTCACAGGGCGGTCAGGTATGCTCTAACTTTATATTAAACAATTGCCAGTATTAATTGTAACATAAACTGTAGCAGAATTATCATGTAATTAAACTGGGCCATTATAACGCTTAATTTGTTCATAAGTTGATCTAATTTAGTTTATTTTGTTTTTATAATTCTATAAATTGTAATACAAATCACAATAATTAGTATCCTTTCCGTATGTCTTACATTATATGATTTAATGCTTAATTAGTTTTCAATACATGTGGTAATCAATTGAGGCTTTTTTGATTTTAAAAGTTAAACTACAATTTGAACCACTATTTGATAACTAATCTCAATTTAATCACACATGTAGAAAACTGTCTTACAGTAATCAAGAATTTGATTAATTTAATTTTAGACATTTATAAACTTATTGATCAAATTAAAAGTTAAAATCTGTACAAATACTGTAAATTAATTATAAGTAAGCATTTTAATTAAAATTTTTTATAATCAAACATCAATACTTATCATCAGTTTATCAAGTAATTGCCCTATAGAATAATTAAAATATATACATTTTATTTTACATTTTTAGATACTTTTAATTTCCATGAATAATATTGAGTAAAATTACTTTAGTTGAAAAAAACGTTTTAATTTTAATATTACAGTAAACACACAAAAACAATGACTTTCACGCGTATTGTGAATGCAATCGTTTCGGACATCACTTCACAAATGGTGGCCAAAGAAGGCATTGATCGACCGTTTATACCAAAAGGCTATCTCTTTGATATGATTTTGAACATTATATCGTTGACAACTTTTAATCAAAAGTATTATTTCATAAAAAATTATATAATAATTAAAAATGTAATAACTTATTATTTACCAGACTGGAACCAGATGATTTGAACAAGTTCAAATATTTGGCCACTGCTTATTCCCATGAAATGGGTGGCACTCATATTGTCTATGAATTTATACCTTACATTCGGTTTTTAATGTCCGACCCTTTGATGAAATATCGCCACAATTATAACCAATGCTTTGACTATACGTTAGACGTATTGAAAGCACACAAAAACACTTACGATGGGAGCGTTTGTCGCGATTTTTGCGATGCGTTTATCGGCGCTCAGCGTAAGGCAGAGGCCGAGTGTCGGCCCGGAGTTGTCCAGTGGTTGACCGACCAGAACATTGTCGCCACAGTTATTGACTTGATTTTTGGTAAACAATTCAATTGTTTTTTATATCAATTAATTAAAACTATATTATTTTGAATCAAAATTACTATTTAAAAATTCAATTCTAAATAATAACACACGCATAGACAGTTCTGTGCAGTTTTGTTTATAGCACATTAAACTTAAATTAATTTATCATGATCAATCGTTTTTAAACATTAACAGCCGGCACAGAGACGACATACGCCACACTTCAATGGATGGTATTATTTGTGGCCTATTGTTAGGACTGGCAGAGAAAGATGAGGGTAGAGATCGATGACGTGTTGGCCGATAGAGTGGTCACATTGGCTGACAGGCGGCGCATGCATTGCGTGCAGGCGTTCATCGCTGAGACCCTACGCTATCGCACCGCCGCTCCCGTCGGCTCTCCGCGCGTCACTCTATGCGACACAACA